TAAAACATTAAATTATGTATATATTACATAATTTGTAAATTTAAAATGATTTAAAATATAAAAATAATTTAAAAAATGAGGAAGCGTCACATGGCAAATTTCAGTTTTCCTTTTACATATATATATATATATATTATTTTATATAAAATTTTAGTTTGTTTAAAAATATTTCTATTTAAAGTTCAAAACAATATAAATTAAAATTAAAGAAAAAGACTTAAAAACTCACAAGATAATAGCTTAAAAGGGTACTGAATTTACATATCATAGAGATTGAATTACCATTAATTTAAATCACAAGCGACATTATAAAGAAATTGACTCATAGTAAGAGAACAAATTGTTACTAAAGTTACATCTCTATTGGGGCCTATACCAACCTTTTTGTGGCTATACAAACAATTCATTATTAAAAGTTGTAATCTATCGTTTGTATATGTTGACACTATATTAAGGAGTCAACTTTTGATAAATGATCTCTTCAAACCCATTGTTTTACTACCTAAAATTTATATATCATATTTTATATTATTATCTCAATTATTTAAACCATTATAAATATTAGGACTACTCAAACCATTATAAAAAAAATACACTTCGAATCGTATCGGTATTTTAACGATATGAGACTCTTTTCAGTGAAACCTTAAATCTTTCCCATGCCTTATGAAAATGCTTACTATTAATATGGGCAATATTTAGACCTTAAGAGAAAGAATAAAATTTACTTAAAAAATTTATGTGACATTTCTTCCTATGTGGTGATGGATTTTTGCTTTATCCCATAAAGAGAAAGAAAAAAGCCTAAGTTGAATAGCGTCTTTATAACTCCATTGTGCTTGAATGTATTGTAAATTTTTAGGAAATTTATTAAATGCATATTAAGGTCTTCTTGAGAAAGGTCTCCAAACTGAAATGAATATTATATAATTTGAATTATAGTTTCACTTAAATATTTTGAGCATACACAGTTAACTTTTTGTCTGTGGCTACACTTCATTTTCGTCATCCATGGTGTTGTCTCTTTTTATCACTTGTCTCTTTAACACACAAATTGTCCCTTTCGATTTTTGGGTTAAGATTTTCAATGGTTCATCCTCTAGTATTTATCGTGCATTAAAGAAAAATTCTGCAAAAATCAAAATCACAAAAACTAAGTAAACTAATAAAATAAATAAATAAAATTAAAATATCAGTGTAGTTAAAGATAACTCATTAGATACTATCAATCCTCGGCAATACCACCAAAAACTTGATCAAGAGAAAACTATCTTGTACTACCAAGTATACTTGTCGAACAACTAAAAAAGAATCCATATAGAATATTATTCCAAACGAGGATTGTTTCGATTTGATGTTATGATTAATTATATCTTTGTGCTAGTTGAGATAAATGAAATAATGATTTTGATTTTTTAATTATCTTAAGGGTAATTAAATTACATCTAAATTAACTAGACCATAATAAGTTTTTAACTAAGACTTAATGTATTGAGGTGTTAATTTTACCTACACCGTATATTAAGAATATCCGTAAACTGAGTTCAATTTTGTCAGAAAAGTCATGGTAGATTCCCTATAATTTAACAGTTCTTCTTATATTATGCCGATAACCTTATCAATGAGTCAATCTTAAAAAATATATATTTTTTAAGTTAGCTCCTTAATTGAGGATCAATAAGATGAATATCATGTTCAATAGAAATCCTACAGTTAACTATCTCTTTTGGGTTAAGCACTCCATAAGATAAATATCATGTTTAAAGAAGATTTAGAATGTTACCCTAAAACTCATTTTTAGAAGTGGCTAATTCGTGGTAAAGCCTAAATAAAAAAGAAAAAGACTTTTTAAATAATTTTCAGTATTATATTTCCCTTACTTTTAATGATTTTCAGTATTTTATTTTCGTTATTTTAATATATCTCTCAAAATAAGATAGATAAAAGATATTTACAAACATGACCAGAAACTAATAGTTAGAGACATTAGAGAGAGAGTTTTAAATTTGCTACTTTTATCTTTTCCTAACAATCAAAATGTATTTTCTAAGTAGTTTAACATTGATATAACTTGAATGAAATTTGACAATGTTTTTAATGTGATCCAAGATTGCTTTTAAAACATTCATTTCATAAAATCTTTATGATACGTTTTTTCCGTGTTTTCACTATATGATTAAAAGAGCTTTCTTATTGAACCATACTGAGAATTATATAACTCCTGAAGAGATGATTGTTGGAGACTCAATTCTTAAATTTCTTCTTCAAGCTCTTATTTAAGATCTTCAATGTCCATATTATTCTCGTCTTTTTCTTTCTTTCAACTCATGAATACTTTTTAGCTCAATTTATTGATTTATCTTTCAGTTGCCCTATCAATCTTGAATATTATCTCAAAAGTAACATTAGCACAAATTGAGTGTTTGTTATTTATTAAAATCAATCATATATTTCAATGTAATACTTATCTTTTAGTTGCAATAATTTTTTTAGCAAAAAACTCAAACATTTGTTAACATAACATAAAGTTTTTTATTTATCAAAATCAATCTATAGACACGAGGAATTTATGATAATAGATGATTTTTGTCGCACACAATCTTTTTTTTTTTTAATGCCCAAAAGACCACATACATATTAGAAATAGTGGAGTTTTTCATACTTGATTTTTATCCTCATGCAATGAACCAAAAGTAACCACTTAACTAGCTAAATCAACATCAAACAATTACGATATTAGACTTATTAAGAAGTTCTAGAGGAAGACCATAATATGTTCCCAAAAGGGACAAACAGAGAATTATATTTCTTCTAGAGATGAAGGTGGTTACATAGTTAAGGATTATTTAAGATCCACTAATATTCTAAACAAATTTATCCAACGCTTTATTCTCATTTATTTCGTGAAAAAATGAGCAGATAAACAAAATTTTGTCCAAAGTTTTAAATGTAATAGTATTTAAGGATTTTCAAACGTCGGTAAGTACTTAGTATATCACATTAAAAGGTGTAATATTTGAAGAAGAACTTTACCTAGTAAGGAGCTTGCCAAACTATTATTATATTTATCACATTCTCAAAACTAAAATAAAATCCTCAATTGTAATGAGGCTTATTTTCTTTAATAAAGTATATAAATATTGATGAGCTTTTTCATGAAGAGAGACTATTAGCCACATGCAAAATGTTCTAGTATAAATTTAGGTGGAAAAAAACATAAGGATGGAGAAAGATGGTAACTAATAAAGAATTAAAAAAGAGGAGTTTAAAATAAGAAGAAGAAGAAGAAAAACTCAAGTATCACATGGAATATTGTAACTCGAAAGCAAGCAGAGGAACCAAATGAGAGAAAATCTCCTCCTTCATTTGTATATTATCTGTATTAAGACGTTCTCATTTAGAACAACGGTTATACCAGATTTAAATTATTAATTTTAATTTTTTATTTAACGATTCAAAAAATTCTCACAAATACTAAATATATTTGATTACTACTAATAAAAATAATTAAGTAGAATAGTTTCAACTTGTCACTTGGTAGTAAGAGAAACAATTAAATGTTTAATACTTATTCATGATATGATTATATATATATATATATATATAACAAAAGTAAACTTCTTAAAACTATTAAGACACAGCTATTGTAAATTATACAAATTCTATGTAGTTAGGATAAAATAAATTATTCATAAATTTCTAAAACTTGAACTTGTATAAAATTCAGAAATAATTAATCTTTTTGTTAATATCTAATTAAATTAATATTAACAGATAAAAAAGTATTAAGATTTTCAGGAGAAAATAAATTTCTTGGCAAGATATCCGTTGACAAAAACAGAACAACCTCAACGTCCTCCCCTTTCTCATGAAATAATTTCTCACCCTCCTTCCCTCGCGTCTCAGAAAAGGGATAGCTGCGCAGCCATCATTCGTATGCGGGGATATTCGGGAATGGAGCATGGAATCATAGATAGCAGGTTTGGATCCTGGTACCCATTGAATTCAAGCATAATCCTTGATTGAAAACGGCCCAAATTCACTTCGATCTGCCCCCGAAACCCTTCCCATTTTCTTATCGATCCTTCCTTACTCCCATATCAGGGTGGCGGATCTCTTCTCCTCCTCCCTTCGGGTCACGCTTTGATCAAACTTCTCAACTACCTCTTCAATCCTAATCGTCGTCCCATTTCTTCAGTATTACTTTTGGAGCCCGCTTTTATCGTCTGGAACTCAATTATGTACCATATAATTTATCTCGTTTCTTTTTTGTGAGTAAGATCGCTTCTGTTTCCTTTTCGTGATCAGTGGGTAATTTGATCACCTAATTTGGTTTTCTAGCTTTTGAGTTGGTGATTCCGTTTGTTAGTTTCTTTAGTTTTTGCGAATACTCGAATGCATGATTTTGATTTTTGATCTGCTTTCTGGCTTGGTTCAATGCTGTTATTTGTCTACAATACGGAAATTTTATTGTTTTTATGAAATATTACGTTTATTTTTTGGCATCCTTAAGTTTGTGTCACTGCCTACGAGCGCTTTGGTGTTGATTACGTTTGGTTGTTTGATTTTTATATAGTTATTTGATCGGGAATAATGAATTTCCTTCTTGCCCAGCCTGTTTCGCCTGTTTATTTAGTTGGATATTTCTACAATTGTGTGCTGATTTTCTATTCAACTTGTAAAATTTTCAGTTCCCCTTTCGACCTCTTAGTTGAATGTTAATTTGTTTTTCAGACAGATCTCATTGCAAGAAATCTTGTTCAGTTTAAAACGTGAATTTCTTCTTTACAAATTCAGCTCCTTGAAGCCTTTTATTTATTTAATTGTCTGATGATTCTGTTCAGAGATCTCCCTAACTTTTATGTCTCATTCTTTTGTTTTTGTTTTTAAACTTCAGTGGAGGCAGTATTGGTGAAAACGGATCAACCATTCATGATTACTGGAAGAAGAGACAGACAATCATTTCAACTATTCATGTCTAAGTGCTGAATGGTTTAGTTGTTTTCTTCTGGGAAATTAAATTTATTTATTTTCCTATTCTGGAATACACAATTGAGGGATTTGAGATTGTTTATTGGTTTTACTGGATAATGGAGCACCTTCCAGTAGAAGTTATTGGGAACATACTGTCTTGGCTTGGGGGTGCCCGTGATGTGGTCATAGCCTCAGCCACATGTCGGAAGTGGCGAGAAGCTTGTCGAAAGCACCTTCACACACTTTCATTCAATTCTAATGATTGGCCCATTTATCGTGATTTAACAACTAGTCGACTTGAAATCTTAATAACACAAACAATATTCCAAACCACAGGATTGCAAGGCCTCTCAATTATGATGGATGATGTTGATGAGTTCTCTGCTTCAACAGTTATTGCTTGGCTTATGTATACAAGGGAAACATTGCGCCGACTTTTTTATAATGTCCGTACTACTCCAAATGTTAACATCCTGGAAATTTGTGGGAGGCAGAAGCTAGAAATGTTGGTTCTTGCCCATAATTCAATAACTGGGGTAGAACCAAATTTTCAGAGATTTCCTTGTCTAAAATCCCTTTCCTTGAGTTATATCAGTATTTCAGCATTGGATTTAAATCTCTTGCTCACTGCATGCCCAAAGATTGAGACCTTGGAACTTGTCAACCCTGAGATTGCAATGTCAGATGCACAGGTGACTGTTGAACTAAGCAGTCCAACTCTAAAAAGTATTTACGTCGAAGCAATTAGTCTGGACAAGTTTATATTGGAAGCTGATAGCATTGAGCGATTGCATTTGAAAGACTGTGTCCTTGAACTTTTTGAACTCATTGGAAAGGGTACTTTGAAGCATTTCAAGATTGATGATGTTAGTGTTATACATCTTGATATTGGTGAGACTGCTGATAATCTTGAGATTATAGATGTTAGCAATTTCACTATTATTTGGCCAAAGTTCTACCAGATGATCTCAAGATCATCAAAATTGAGGAGACTTCGCCTTTGGGATGTGGTGTTTGATGATGAGGATGAGATTGTGGATTTGGAGACTATAGCTGTTTGTTTTCCACAGCTAAGTAATCTTTCATTAAGTTATGACTTGAGAGATGGAGTTCTTCATTATGGTTTGCAAGGGTCTTCTCACTTGGACAATGTGCTTGTACTGGAGCTTGGATGGACTGCAATTAATGATCTCTTTTCACACTGGGTGGAGGGGCTACTAAAGAGATGTCCAAATCTTAAGAAGCTGGTGATTTATGGGGTTATTTCAGAGGCTAAAACCCATGAAGAATGCCAGATGTTGGCTAACTTCACTTCGTCCATTGTTCAGCTCATGAGAAAATACCTGCATGTAGAGGTGCAATTTGAGTATGAATAGAACTTCTTTTTAATTCCCTATGCCAGAATTGAGGATTTTGAATTGTATAAGCTCATAGACAGGTATGATTTCTAAGAATGTAAAACCTCGGTGTCCTTTCTGAATTCAACAGACGATGTTTGAGAACTTCCCCATTTGAGTGAAAGAGCATTAAACGTGCTTCATCCTACCTACATTTTCTTTCATTTATTCTCTAGTTCGATAATTATGTTGATCTCATTGTCTTCTGCATCCTTTCCCACTCACCCACATAATGATTCTGTGATTGATTTGCTAGTTTACCCCTTAAAAATTTCCCATCCTCATTGTATTATTTGTTGATTGAATGCTATTGCTACATCTTGGTGTTTAATCTGAAACTGATTCTATGGTGGGTGTGTGCGTGTACGTGTGAACCTCCCTGCAAGTTGTCTTGCTGAACATGATACTCTCTCACTTATGTTATTTATGTTAGAAACCTATAGATTGTTACTAGCCTTTAGACTATGTTTTGGAATGAGTAAACTATTAATTAAATTCATTAGAGATTCACATTTAGTTTAACTAGGATTGGCTGTAAATCCTGTTTCAAGTGTTATTCTCCTGGAGGTCATCTTTTTATTTCCTTTTCTTTTTCTCAACAGATTTTTATTCTTTCCTAGTTGAATTAAGTACGGATTTCAAATGAATTTCATACAAATAGTTGAGTTATTCTAAACATAGTCTTTTAGCCTAAATTTAGTATCCTGTACATTGTAAAATTAAAAGAAGAATTATAATTTATATCTTGTGGAATGTTGATAGAATCTACTGGTGAGATGTAGACAAAGGAAAACATAATGAAAGGAAACTAAATTAAGCTTAACTTTCTCATATCACCTATTTATCATTGTTGTTTGGATCAGGTATTGGGTTTTTAGATTTTTTAGATTCTAAGATTAGTTGATTACACTTGGCTCTGTGGTGAATATGTTAGCAAAGGTGTTTATGAAAGGAAATAATTGCACAGCATGGGGTTATTCCTTTGTGCACATTTAGATAATGAGAGGTGCCTTTCCAAATGCATCTTTTCGTGTCCCTAGTTGATATTCGGTTGGATTTTTTCTGCAGGTTTTGGCTGTTTTTTTACCTCCTTTTGGATCTTTCTTCTTGAGTTGCAAAAATCTTACAAGCTGCATTTTTTGTCTATTGTGCTTTCTTATTTTGTCATTTGTAAGTTCTACTTCTTACAAAAGCTCGTTTTTTTTAATCTTTGATGAGTTATCTTGTGGACGTTCAAGATTTGGGGTTGCTTTTTTTCAGTTTTAATCTTTTACTAATCATACAATACGAGTTTGATATGGTTGAACTGAGGTAGCTTCTCTGATGAAATAACCAAGTTGGCCATATTGTATGTAAAGAAAAATTTAGCACAGTTTTCTTTTAGAAGAGAAAATAATTTTATCTAAGGGTCGGTTTATGAGGGGAGAAATGAAGCGGAGGAAGGAGAAGGAATGAGGATTATTTGGTCACTACAACAAAACAATAATAAAGATAGAGTTCATTGAACAAAATGACTATTTGGAAAAATAATAACTTACTATTGAGGACCAAATTGTTTCTACTCCCTTGCTTTACCCACCCTTTCTTTCCCTTCCATTCAAGCAAATCCAACTAATGACTCGTACCTTTTGTAGCTTTAACATTATAATTGGTATGAAGGTCATTTTAAAAGAAGAAGAAATCCTTTTTCTTTTTGACAAAAGCATATGAAAAAAGATTGCTAACTTCCAAAATGCCTTCTTTTTTCAGTAACAGTCTTTGCACTAGACCTTAAAAAGGTTTATATAAGAACTCCTTGGTAATGGCTAAAATTTTAAGGTGGTTAAACTAGAAGGCCATAACCTCCTTGACCTGGTTTTGGTCTAGGTTGCTGAGCAGGCATAGGGAGACAAGAAGAGAACAGAAAGTAGACTTCCTGGAAGTAGCAAATTTTCCTTCTAGGATGATAATAGAGAGAACCACCTGCTTTTTCCTCTCTTTTACTAGCGGACATGCTAGTGTTCAATCTATCAGAAAATTAAATAATACTTTACTGTATATGTGCATTTATTTGCATAGCATATAAGGATTGGTGTCATCCTCTCTATTTGCTCAAGGACTTTGAGAACCTCGTAAACATTTTGATCGATATGTAAATATCTTTGTATGTAGGTTTCAACTCTCTCATTGCATGTGAATGAATGATACCTACTAGTTTTATGTCCACAAAAAATGTTGCATAGCATATAAGCATTCATTCATGAAGTATTTTTACAGGCAATGGCTCTGTCTATTTTTTCTTATACTCATTAATCCTTATGGTTCAATACCGTGTAACACATAGAACTTTACAGTTTTTAGTGACATTAACACTATAAATTAAGGATTGTTTTGATAAGTTTATGTTTGCAGTTATCTGGACACAAATTTCAATCGAGTCTAATCTGGGTGTATTTTTTATGATGGGACTTTATGTTGTTCATGGTTGAGGTTCTTTGGTTTGAGCTTGGATGTAGAAATGAAAAAAGAGCAAGTGCAAGTATTTTCAAATGGGGAAGAAAACCCGTGGGTAATAACTGCCCTATGGCACTAATTTTTTTTTTCAAATAAAAAGTATGAACAGTATATTAAAAAATGGACACCAAGGGGGTGTCACCTGTATTTATATATTTACATATCAGTAAGTAAATCAATGACATTCCCAAAATCATCCCACCTATAAATGTCATGATTCAAATTTAAAAACAAAAAAAAATGTAACCATTTATCTAATTTTATACATTTCACACTCAATCCCCTCAAAACTCTCATATTTCTTTTTCTTCCGTATCATCCAAAAAATAGTTAAAGGAATGAGAAATAAAGCTTTTCTTTTTTGAAAAATACCCACCAAAGCCCTGATTGCATCCCTTACCGACTCCCAATAACCCAATTAATCCCCAACAATCCATAAATCATAGACCATATATCATACACCACCAGGCACCAGATAAGAACATGGTTGCACGTCTTGCATCCTTCTTGCAAAGATAACAGTCATTGACAAGAGTTCGACCCCTTCTTATTAAGTTGTTAATAGTCAAAATACATTCCCTACCTGCCTCCCAAGCAAAAAAGAAATTCTAGACAGTGCATTCACTCTTAAAAACTTATAGCAGGATTTAACTGTGAACTCCCCTTGCTTCTCTAATTTCCACACAAGTCTATCATTTATGTCCTACAGTTGAACAGTGGCTAAAAGTTGTAATAAGGTCTCATATTCCTCAATCTCCCGATCATTCAAATTCCTATGCATATTCACCTCCAAACTGGTCTCCCTTCCACCATCACATATGCCTCATCCATGGTCATCATCTTCGATTGTGCAATGGCAAAGATACTAGGGAATTGGTATTTGAGTCATCCATTCCCAATCCATTTATCTTTCCAAAAAACGGATTTTATTACCTTTCCCTATTCTCTATTGAATACAATCATAGAACTGTTGTTATCCATCCCAATCTTCTGCCACAAACCCGACCCATGAAGTCTAACCAACTCCTTCACCACCCCACTCCTATCCCCCTGCCCCCACCTAACATTAATCACCTTCTTTCACAATCTCTCATTTTCACTCATGAATCTCCAAAGCCATTTGCCTTATAGAGCAGTATTCATTTTCATCAAGGATCTAATCCCCAAATTCCACCTCTTCATAGATTTTTCACCTCCTCCTAGTTGACTAAATGGTATTTTCTTCTTCCAATGTCATTCCCCCACGGGAACCTGTATTGAATGTCTTCCAATTTTTTTTGGCCACCTTAACAAAGATAGTAAGAACTGATAGAAAGTAAATAGGAAGATGAAAAGTGTACTCTTTATTAGTGTTAACCTACTACCCTTAGATAAAAAACTTCTCTTCCAATTAGCAAGTCTTCTTTCAAATCGCTCAATCATAGCTTCCCACATCATCACATGCTTATATTTAGAATCCAAAGACAAACTGAGGTACTTAATGGGCAATCTCATTGCTTTGCAGCCCGACAACTCAACTAACATAATCTCTACAATCTTCACCATATCAGATTTATTCACATTAATTTTCAACCCGGAGACTGCCTGAAAGCATAAAAGAACACACCTTAACTTCAAAATCATCCTTACCTCTGGTTGAAAGAAGATCAAGTTATCATCCGTAAAGAAAAGATGAGAGATGTCTATCCCATGATCTACACCACCCACTGTCACCCCTTTCAACAAATCTATCTCACAAGCCCTCTCAATAAGACTACTTAGCTTCCATCACAATGAGAAACATAAAGGGAGAAAGTGGGTCCCCCCTGTCTCAACCCTTTAGATGCCTTGAAGAAAGAAGAAGAACCACCATTAACTATAATGGCAAAAGAGGGCGTAATAAATACAAGATCTCACCACCTCCTCCACTTCTGCCCAAACTCCGATCTGGCCAACATATAGTCCACAAAGTCCCAATTAACATGATCGTATGTCCTATGGCACTCAATAAACAGTGCTTGCTCTCATTCCTTCCAATTGCAGTTGTTATTCTCTTTTCTTCTTGTCTGTTAATTGGCTAGGAATATTGATTCTAGAATGCATGTGATTTGGAATTAGAGTTGGAACTAACCTGAGCCCACTCACAAGTAGTCTAGGTTCAGCTCTGCTTAACTGAGTTTTGAACTTGGTTTGAGTTCATTCATGAGTCCATTTGTGTCAAGGAGCTATATACAAATCCAATGGTCATATCTCTAATTCTTCCCTGTTTGTTTTTTTTAAATCGTATAGAACACCAAATTCTTTAAAAATCTATTGTGCTAACACTATTTTATATATATACATATATATATAATAGGACAATGCCTAGAGAGATTGTGAGTAACATTCAAAGATAAACAGAGAAAAACATTCTATGGCAAACCATGTGCAGCAGCCGAAACCATTTCTTAAAGATGGTAGCACTTTGTTACGGCCATAAGACCCAATACCCGGGAAAATAGTTCCGCTGTCTACGACATTATGCTCCTTAGCCCTTTCTACCATCCATGCAATGTAACACTATTATTTATTTTATACCTGTTTCATGCAATCTACTAAAGTAAACTGTATATAATATATTTTCTCTTTTGTTGTCTTTGATTCTAGAAGACTTTCTTAAGATGTTACTATACTTGTTTAT